TTTGTATGAGAAAATCCTCTAAAGAAAAGTTTAAAAGACTGACCTCTTTAGAGAAGAACTTTATAACCACCATTAATCATGAAGTTTGAATATACCTCTAATGTGACTAGTGGAAGATTTCCTAGACTAGATCCCATGGTTTTTACTCCTCGGCAATAAAAGATGTTTTCCACGTTAAAACTTGTTATGTTCTCTGCTCCATCTCTTTATTTTTTGCATTTTCTTGGATGACTTGCTGATAGTAGACCGACCTCCAAGTGCTGAGCTATGAGCTCCACTTGACGACCTGTGATTGCTTCCTCACTGATTGAAGGACCCTATCCTAACAGTGGTATCAATCCTCAGTGCTAAGATTCATGAAGGTAAGAATGAAAGAAATTGAATAGAAAGGAGACAACCATGATACGAATAGTATATTGATAAAAATCCTATTTGAGCATGTGCTGCAGTTGACCAACGCCCACGAATTATCGACAAAGTTGGAGTCTACGATATAGAAGAAAACTCCTTGGAACAAAGTGTATTTAGTATGCTGACTTGTGAAGCTCGAATATAAGGAAGACGTGAGCATAATAGAAAATCTCAATGCTTACAAAGGTGTTGTGAATCAGCTAGCTAAAGTCGAGATGAAAATAGATGATTAATTATAAGCTATGCTACTCCTTAGTTTGCTGTAAGAAAATTGGGATACTCTGGTAGTGATTTTGAGCAACTTGGCTCCAAAGCCAAGATTGACAATGGACATTGTGACTGTCAACCTCTTCGATGAGGAGCCCAGAAGAAGAAAGCAAGGCGTATTCAGCACGTCCGAGGGGAACGTTGCTGAGAACAAGGGAAAGTTTGACTTCGGGGAAAAGTAAGAGTTAAGGTCGAGATAAATGTAGAGACCGGTCTAGGCTGAACTATGAGCTAACTTGCTTATATTGTGGGAAACCTGCACACAAGAAGGCAGATTGTCAGAATCTGAAGAAAGACCAGAAGAGCGGCAATGTCAAGCCGGACTAGATAGAGCCCAAGAAGAAATAAGACAAGAGCACACTGATGTCGAGGTCTTCCTCCTAGGTAAGGATAATTTTCTAAATGTTGCTTATGATGTTTATGCCTGGATTGTTGATTCAAGTGCCTCATTCTATGTCACTCCACACAAGTGCTTTTCTCTTCCTATAGAAGTGGTGACTTCAGAGTTGTGAAGGTGGAAAACTATGTCACCAGTAAGCTTGTTGGGGTTGGTGATATGACCTTGACCATGAATACCAGTTGTCAAATGTACTGAAAGAGGTGAGACATACGCCTCAACCTAATCTCGGTAGGAAAGCTGCTAGATGATGTCGGGTTAGTAAATTATTTTGGTGCAGGAAGATGGAAGCTGGCAAAATGGAACTTGCTGGTTGCTTGAGGCAAGAAAGAAGGATCCTTATATGTAATGGAAGGAAAAATGAACAGTGGAGAAGCCAACGCTATATATGATGGACATAACATGGAGTTTCGCACAAGCATCTCAGCCACATGAGCAAAAAACAACTTTAAATTCTGAACAGGAAAGGACTCTTGATTGGGTTAAAAGGGCATAAATTGGAGAGCTGTATGCACTACCTTGCTGGAAAGTAGCACCACCAGGTTTCATTAGTAAGACTAAATTAGCCTATACAGCGCACATATATTCTTGACTCGACTACACGATGTCTGTTCCATGTCGAAAAGAACACACAATAAGGCTCAATACTTTCTTTCCTTTATTGACGACCACTCCTAAAAGCTGTGGGTTTATTTGTTGTGTTCCAAAGATCAGATACTTCAAGCCTTTAAAGAATTCTACGCTATGGTAGAACGAGAGATTGACAAGAAGCTGAAAGTAGTTTAATTTGCGAATAAGAGAGAATATTGCCGCTTTTCGATGCTTATTGTTGAGCGGCAGGAATCAGATTGGAGAAGATGCCCCCAAAGACATCTCAATTAAATGAAGTAGCTAAGAGGGAGGGTGAACCAGACTATCGAGGAAATAATTTGGAGTATATTATCCATTACTGGGTTACAAAATTCTTTATGGGGATAGGCCATCAGGACTGTAGTCGACCTCATGAATCTATCACCATCAAGACCCCTTGAAGGAGAAATTCAAATAAAGTATGGAAATGACATAAAGCATCTTATGATCATTTCCATATGTCGACTGTAGTTGACGATATGCTTATTGTAGGGAAAGACAAGTCCAAGATATCGCCTTGAAGAAGGCGTTGAGCATGTCCTTCTCAATGAAGGACCCTAGCCCTCAAAGTAGATATTAGGAATTAAAATTATAAGATTCTTTCATTGAAAAGTATTACGACTTTTCCAAGAAAAATACATTGAGAAAATTTTGAATAAATTTAGCACGGATCAAGCCAAGACAATAAGCATCCCTCTAGCTAAAATATAAAATTAAGCCAGAGACAATATAAGAGCTCTTATTAAGAAAATGATGAAATGTTAAAAATCCTGTACAAGTCCGTTGTCAGAAGCTTGATGTACATAATGGTATGTTCAGTTAGGATGGTGAGCCGGTATTTGTCAAATCCCTGCAAAAAACACTGGGAAGGTGTCAAATGGATCTTCAAGTATCCTAAAGGAACAACAAATCTATGCCTCTGATTTGGAGAAGGTAAGACTGAGCTGGAAGACTTTACAAATGCTGATTTAGGGGGAGATGTTGACTCAAGAAAGTCGATGATGGGTTTTTGATGACATTTGCAGGAGGAGCTATCTCTTGGCAATCAAAACTTGAGAAATATGTGGCACTTTCGATGACCAATGCCAAATACCTATTGCAACATTAGTATGTAAGGGGATGACGTGGATGAAAAAATTCCTCTTTGAACTCGACCGTGAACAAGAAAAGTACGAGTTGAAGTGTGAAAATCAAAGTGCAATTCACTTGGCAAAGAACTCGACTTATCACTCCCGTACTAAACATATAGAAGTGAGGCAACACTGGATCCAGGATATGTTAGAGGAAAAAAAGCTTGAACTTATCAAACTGTACACTAACCTGAATTAGTTCGATATGATGACAAAGTCGATGTTAGCAAGGAAGTTTGAAGATTGCTATCAAGATGTCGGGTTGTTGGACCCGACGCATTAAAGTTGGAAGGGAAGATTTGATGGAGTGTGTTCTTCCATTGATATTTGGTGGTTAAGCATACGCTACATTTATTTATGCATGACTCAATGTCTGAATAACCGCTCCAATAAATGCTACCTACCTCTTCTATGATGAAGATTCTAGAAGAAGGTGAAAGGTTTCACCTCATTATATAAAGATACGAAAATCTTTGTAAAAGGTTAGAGAGAGAGAGATTTTGTGTGAGAAAATCCTCCGAAGAGAAGTTTGAGAGAGTGACATATTTAGAGAAGAACTTTGTAAGTACCATTTGATGGTGAAGTTTGAATATACCTCCAGTGTGACTGGGGAAGCTTGAATCTTTTTAATCCCATTATTATCATAATGGAAGATTTTCTAGAATAGGTCCCGTGATTTTTACTCATCTGCATTATAGGAGGTTTTTCATGTTAAAACTTGTGTTTTCTTCTCCATCTCTCTATTTTATGCATTTTCTTGTTTCTGCTTTGGACCGACCTACTGATAGTATATCGACCTTCAAGTGCTAAGCTGCGAGCTTCACTTAACGACCTGTGATTGCTTTTGTGCTGATATAGGGACCCCATCTCAAAAAAAAGTGTGATTGATTTTTGTTCTCAAAAAATGATGTCACAGGTGTTGAAGGTTACACTAACTCTGATGGGGCTGGAGATAAAACAACAAGGCATTCCACATATCAGGCTATTTCACCTTCGTGGAAGATAATTTAGTTACTTGGAAAAGCAAGAAACAGAAAGTAGTAACAAGATCAAGTGCAGAAGCTGAATTTCGAGGTATGGATCAAGGAGTATGTGAGCTATTGTGGGTTAACAGCGTATTAAAAGACTTGGAAATTTGTTATGACAAACTAATGAATCTCCATTGTGATAACAAGGCTGCCATTGGAATAGCAAATAATCCTGTGCAACATGACCGAACCAAACATGTGGAGATTGACCGATATTTTATCAAGGAGAAGCTAGTTCAGAAAATTATACAGTTGCCATTTGTTAAGTCAGAAGATCAATTAGTTGATACACTTACTAAAGCTGTTTCCAGAAGAGTTTTTCAAGGTGCAATTGACAAGTTGAACATGATTGACATCTATGCTCCAACTTGAGGGGGAGTGTTGAGTTGTATATTTTTTATAATTGAAAAGATTTAATTTCTGATTTGATTGACCAATTTATGTAGCAATTAAAGAGAATTCGTTACATGTAAAGATTGTAGGAATTATGTGGAGAGATTTTATGAGTTTTAATTTCCTGATTATTTGTAATTTTTTCGTTGATTTATGGCTGATTTGTATCATGATTTATGACTGATTTGTAACTCTGATACTATGTATATAATGACCTCTATTGAGGTAGAAGAAATACAAATGAATTACTATTATATAGAGTTGCTTGATTTTTAACATATATATAGACCTTTTTAAATTGGAAAATGCTTGTGACATATCGTTGTCAGGAGGAGTAGCTGAGGTAGCAGACTGCATGTGTGGAGCATTCATGGTGAAAATTGTGCAAATGTCATTAATTTCTTGGCAGCTATTAGGTGGCAAACTTTTAAGCTCAGAGCAACATCAACCACAAAAGCTGGTTAGGCTCATCTTACATCTTACTGTTTATCTTTAAAATAAATAAGTAAAAATATATTTATTTTTAATTTAACAGAATATACCATGATTATTATTGACTGAATAATCTTACAGTAAATATACTTTCAAAACATATTTACACTAGAAACTTCATAACCTTACTTCCCTCCCTTTCTTTTCTCTCAATCCTCGAACAAGGACAAAAGAGCATAATATAAAACCAAATTAATTGTGGCAGGATGACAATAAAGAAAACAAAATAAAAAGCTATAAATCAAATTTTACCTTAATGTGGTTTTTGTAGTATCCCTTCACTACAGGGTTTGTGAAGAAATCATCTTCAGAATTTACAGACTGGCCCTGACTCCTTGCCCAGTCCACATATTGTTTCTTTCCTCCTAAGTTATTATAATTATTCACCAAACTTAACACCAGCTTGAGACCATATCTTCTGGCTTCAGATATTACGAAGTCCAACCCCTTCAATTATGAATTAAAGAAAGCAGAGTACGTAACACAAATCAAACAAATAAGAGTGCACAGCACAGCAACTAGACAAAAAAAAAATAATGCAAACAAATAAACAAATTGAAGTGCACGGTTAGAAAAATATAATATAAAATTATTAAGAGAAGAAATTTTTATTATTTTATATTAAATTACATACCTATATTATATTTCTTTAACATTATTAAGTACTGCATTAAAGATTGAAGAAATGGTGATGAAGACTAACCTGGAACATGTCCTCATTGTAGGATCCAGGAGAGTATTGTAGGGGTTTATATCCACCATCACTGAAAGCCCATGTTCTGGCTATGTTAAGTCCATGGTTTGTTGCCTCTTGAAAAGCAGATGACACCTTGTTTCTCTGAGATGGATCAGAGGCCACATACATTAGCCAATAGGCATTAAAACCATTAGCATAGTAGGGACTACCATTCAACATAAGCTGCACTCCTCTTGCTTTCACAAACCCATCATCTCCTTCTACTAATTGGAGCAAAATCCCATGTTCTAGTATAGTATAGAGAACTAAAAAGACCAGAAAAAAACGATGCTTCATCATTCTGCGCTCCTCTTAATGCAGTGTAGGATGTTTCAACTTCTAAAACGCACTGAAGCCAATATAAGGAGCTTATTTTCTATTTTCTCTTGAGGACATATTCTTTGCCCAAAAATAAAAAGACGTGGAATATGAGTAGAAATAAATATAAAGATAAAAATATTATTTTTTGTTATATTTAATAAATAAAAAGTACCGAATACTTTATTATCTTGGAACATCGAAAATATTTTTCAATATAAGAACCATTTGTAGTTTATAACGGTAAGTGTCTTTATGTTTGATAGTAAAATATATATGGAAAATTAATTTCTCATTTAATATAAAATAAACTCATTTTTTTACATTCAGATATTGAGTGGTGGGACCAATTTATATTTTTTTTCTCTTCTCTATTCTCTTTCTTCTCTTTTATACATGTGAGTTGTGAGTATAAGAAAATATATTTATCTCATGTAAAATGAGATAAACAATTTTCAATATATATTTAAAAAAGAAATAGATGGTGTAATCACGTAAACATAATCTTTTTCACCAGTGACTAATGTTGATCGAAATGCCAGAACACTACACTCTAAATTAACGTTGTCTTTAAGTAAAAGGAAAGGACAGAGGGGATTGTGGATGCAGTGGATTTGTATAGAACCAGAGACTATCACGAGTCACTGTCACACTGTACATGTAATGACTCATAACCACAACCATGGAAAAAGGTGTGGTTACAAAAATAATTTGCCTTGTCCATACAAAATTATTGCCCCGTGATGTGAATTGATTACTGTGGCATGGAAATAGAATTATGGACGCATCCCACTGCCCAAATGACATTAACATTGTTAAGCGTGAGATACAAGCTCTGGAACACGTCAATCAGTGGGATATTTTTTTAATACAACAGGTGCACCAAATTTTTTTTGAAATGACATAAAGAAGAATATAAAAAAACAATAGATTAAAGTGAAATTTTTTTATCTATTTTAATAAAGAAAAAATGTATCTTATTTTAAAGTATATAAAGTTGTATTATTTGAGAGAAGAGATAGATGATACTAAAGAGAATGAACAAAAAAAATAAAAATATAAGTCTCATCTTTTTATGAAAATAAAATGATACAATTTATATCATTTAAAAAGAAAAATATTTTTTCGCTTTAATAAATAAGTATATCGAATTCGATACCCCAAATTTACCAAAAGTTTGCTCCAATTAGTGACTCCACTTCGAAGTGTTTTCTTACCTTCCAGGGACGCTACACTCGCACACGGCACCGTCACAAAAAGTAACTACTTCCAAAGAAAATTAAATCAAATTTTTATTCTACAAATATGTTGGTGAGATAATGACTCCTATTGACTGAATTAATAAGTTCATATATTGAAACATTACCTTTCATAGTTTTTTTTTCCCTTAATTCTTCTCATATTATTAGAGAATAATATAAATCATTAAAAAAATCTTCATCCAATAATTTTGAGTTAAAGTAATATTAGAGCTTCAGTGATTATAAGGTCACTAGTTTGATCTTTACCACCTCTACTTTCAAGTATAATGAAATAAAAAGCACAAAAAGTAAACCAAAAATTAGACCTGTGCAATATCCACGCTTCAAGCTCATAAAGGGCTCTCATGCGTGAGGGAGTGTGTTAGAGAATAATATAAATCATTAAAAAGACCATCACCCAACACCTTAAGATTTTGGGTTAAAGTGGTTCTTTACAAATATTTCATGAAATAATTTTATCTTCTATATATACATAAAATTAAATGGGATTCACGTGGAGTTATATGAAGAAAAAAAAAGAGAAAAAAATATGGGTCTCGTATATTTTTATGTGTGTAGGAAATAATTTTATTACCTACAATAAAAGCGACGTTAAATCCTATTGTTTTATTGTATCCATTGTTTTATGGGTTACCCAATTAATCTGATTCGAGTTAGATATGATCACATAAGCTCAAATAATTTCTTACCATTTAAATCACGAGGTTGGTGTTACCTTGTATAGTTATTAACTGGAAGAATGAGAAACCCAAGTTTTTGGGATTGAAAGCAGTGTTTTAAAAATCGGCTTGAATCGGCCGAGTCGATCCGATTCTTAGTGACTTTGTGGATTCTATGATCCGAGCAATCATTTAAACTGATTATGAAGTCAATTCAGTTTGGACCGGTTGATTTGACCGAGACTCGGTGATCCGGATGATTAGGGTTAGATCGATTGAACACCCTTCCCCCCTTTTGTAAATTTTTTTTTTTGGTAAATCTTTTTTTTTTGGTTGTTGAGAACTCTTGAATTAAATCATGCTCATATTTTGTGATAAATATGATTAAAGAGTAAAGTAAAAATAAGAAGGTACTTTACATTAGTGCAGTTCGTTTATGTAATTCAGTTGCATCTTATAATAATCTGAAGAAGTTAAGTGGAGATAAACACTAATGGTCTCATTTCAACAGTGAACACTTTTTCCTTAGTGTATATTTCATACCTATAATTTGTTATCGTAATTTAGTTTATCTGTGTTTTGTCAAGGCACAAAAAGTGCATTTAGCTTACATTGCAATTTTAATCTAATATTAGGATATAGTCTAGAATTAAAAATTCAGAAGTATATAATATTTGCTATCATTGAGAATCAATTTATTTTTTGAAGCTCATTGATAGTTTTTTATATGAATTTTTAATATAAGTAATATGTTTATATTTTTTTAATATGTAAACAGTAAATCTGATTGAATCCGGTTGAACTAATAATTGAGAGTGACGTAATACTTTAATCAAGTCAATCCCAATTTTAAAACACCGATTGAAAGGTCTCAACTGCGAGGAAGTTTGGAGTAAGGTAGCCTTCTTTTTTGGGACTGGAACGCCTATTGTTAAATTGAATTGAGTTCATAACATTTTTTACAACAGTTATTTAGTATTGATTTCAATTTCTAAGGATAAACTGAATCTCGTCAAAGAGTTATTAAGGACGACATTGTAGATTATCTTCATTCTTCTCCATTAGGGAAGCTAATCCTCATGCTAGCCTCTAATGTAGTTGTAGACTAAGAAAAACACAACGAATAAAGTGGTAGACAAAAATGACAGTAAAATTATAGAGGAATCAAAACATCTCAGCAATAATGTAAAAAAATATAATATAAAATTATTAATTGGACTTCATCAAATTCAAATTATTATATAAAACAACTTCCAAGTTCCAACAATAACGCTAATAACGATCATTAAAATTTAGTATAAAATACACAATAATGATAATTACCTTGCATTTTTCCCCTTACCAATTATCAACTTAATAGACAATACAATTTTTTAATAACAAAAAAAGTTAATAAATGTTAGAGATAAAATCATTAAAAAACAATTCACATAATAACTTAAACTTTTAAAATAATAACTCTATTTTTATCAAGGCCATCTCTGCTGCTCATACAAATGCCATAAAAATAAAAAAATAAACATGAGAAAAATAAATAAAATGAAAGAGACGTATGTTTATAAGCGTTGGTAATGACGTTGTTTAGGTATGTACCAAAAAAAAATGACGTTGTTTAGGTCTTTTTTGGGTCATTTATAAGCATTCGCGGGTTTGACAAACTTGCATATTTCGGAACTGACAATTACAAGCACAGTAATTAAATAACTTGCTTTTTTTTTTTTAGGTTGATTTTCATTTTAGTGGAAGTCTGGTTTTTAATGATGTAGCTGGGTCTCCTTTCCCGTAGTTGTTCTAGTGGTTTAGTCTGTTTCCTATTCTAGTTTTAAAAAAAGTTTACAAACAAAAAAGAAGAGTCCAATACTTTCTATTCAGTTTACAAGATCCATCACCATCATCCCACAGCTAAAAGAAGAAAAAGAGTGAAATGCGTAATTGTATATGCATTTCACACAGCTAAGAGTCCAATGCTTTATCATTATCTTCAAAATCCCTTTTTGTTTTATCAACTACTACACCTAATCTACTAAATTTACAACATCTGATTAGCACATCACATATATTGTTAAATTAAATTTAAACCTATCATAATAAAATTTAAATTAAATCTTTACTATTGTTTGTAAAACTCTTACGTTACTTAACATTTTTTTCTTTCCTCAATTTTTTTTTCTTTATATAGTTTAAGGGTTTTCTTTCATGTTATAGGAGAGGAATTATCTTATGTTGTGAGATAAATTAAGTGGGGCCCACAAATTTTAAAAAAAAAAGAAAAAAGAAAAAAAGTGAGACACATCTCCTCCACGCATCAATATATACGCGCGTATACATATGTGAGGCAAACTTTTAAGACACATTGATCTTCCTTTTTAAAAAATGCGGTCACT